CATCAGCAACTTCTTTAGCGTTGACTGAGGCTATGGCTGCTGCTTTTGTATGTTGTTTCCCTCGAACTATTCAGCTGACCTTGAGCTTGTATTATCTGGAGAATAAAGACTCTGCTTCACTCTGCTAAAGAAGATCGGAGTCATGTTGAGGCAGTATAAGAGTGACTGAATGAAACTGGTTTCTATCGAGCACCAAGCTTTGATCAGATATAAGAGACATATAAACTGTAACCCCACCGTATATAGATGGCCACCGTTTAAATAAAGACCCTGGTATGTCAGCTGTCACTAAAATGAATGTAGTGTAAATCGCTGTTGTTAAAAACACGTTTGCAAAATGCTACGAAGGAGGTGCTATGAGAACAAAGATGGAAACATATCACTTCCATGTTACAGACATTTTGCATAATGAGTAGAAGCTGTGAAGTATGAATAATTTTGAAGAGAAAAAACTGTCAATAATTCATGATTTAAAAACTCAAGCTTAAAAAAATCATTTTTTATTGCATATCTTCAGCTAAAGGACCAATACACAACAGCCTGTCTCTGAGCGTATAAAGATCAGCTTCCATTTCAGTCGTCTGCTCTCTGAATAAAATGCAATGAATAGTCAATAGACATGAATTGAAAAACACTCGCAATTATTAATTTACCTTACAATTAGGAAAGTGTACTGATATCTAACAGAATAGGATTTTTAGACTTGTTTTTTTTTTGACTGGAAAAAGGGATACTTTAAAAAAATATTGTCGACGTCAGAGATAATTTCAGGTATGTGGTGCATATAATCATAGTATGTGAAGCGGAAAACAGTTTATAGTTCCGGCCATCAGGAACTCGAAGCGGGGCACAGATTGTTCTTGTGGCCAGGGACCAAAACAGGAGCAGAGTGGAGAACGTTCCAACTGTGCAATGGAAAACCCCACTGAGATCCCCTTTACAGCAGACAAGTTGGAGCTGTAGCTTTTTCCTACCTGTTTTGTATGTGCTGCTAAATTAAACCAATATTAATTGTGAGGCAGCAAAGATTTCTTTAATATGGACATGAGGCTAAAACATTTCAGCACCAGTTCTTTTCTTTTTAGTGCCTTTATTTCTTTCCATTTTTTTTTTTATATTTACATTTACATTAACATTAACACTACAAAAACATGTTGTCGTTTGCCCTGCACAACACCCTTTTTATAACACTGCCATCTAGTGACAAGAACCTTATCCTGAATCCCACATTTTTACATGTCGTCAAGATGTTTTGAAGGAGTCTTATTAATTAAATTTTTTTTTACTGTTTATTTCAGTGTTTAGTCATACAAATAATGGGGAATGAAGTTCTGCAGGAAATGCAACAATGTAGCTTAGCAAAATTCATGCTATCATTTAAATTCTGCTTAATCTATGGAAAATGGTAATAATAAAAAAGGAAGATCCACACTCCTATTTTCTTGTTATTTTTCTTATTTTTTCCCCCCCCCCCCCCTTATTCTGTGATTTCTGTTGTCATTATGCAACACAGCAGATTTTGTATATGCTGCTGTGTTGCATTATGAAAAATGTAATTCTTTGTAATTCAGATCTTTGTTTTTTAAAATGAATACATTTGAACATTTTCTTCAGTACATGAACTTCAGTTGTTTATGGATCTACGCACCCTTACGCACATAAGTAAAAAAGTTCATGTTAATTACAGAAAACAACATTTACTCATACAAATAACAATGCAGTTCTGCAGAAAATGTTAATTATATGTGTTACACTTTATTTTAAGGTGTCCTTGTTACAGTGTAATTATACACTTAAGTACTAAGTAATATTAATTAACTACATGTACTACTGTAAATGGTTAAGGTTAGGTTTTGGTTTAGGGTTACCTGCATGTAATTATGCATAATTTATTGTTATTATAATAGTAAGTACATGTAACATGTGTAACAAGGACACCTTAAAATAGTGTTTCCAATATATGTTTTAAATTTCAGAACCTCTTTTGAATGATAACACTGGTGACAATTTACTCCAAAATCAGACACACAGATGTTGACTCAGACAGACCCAAAACATTTTGAAGCTTTTCCAGCAGAAGGAGCAGCTTTTAAGAGATTTTATAACATGCTTTTTATACAGTTCTAAATCAGAGCAACCTTGAAGCATGTCTAAGTCCTTGAATGTTTTGAGAAGTCAAAAGACATCTTTGCATTCAGTAAGGCTTATGCTGTCTCTTTACTTTTCAAAGCATTTCTTAATGGTTAGTTGACAGCTTTTTCCCTCACAGCGGTTCCATCCTGTCTCCAACCTTATGGCCCAGCCCCTGACTCTCTTGTGTCCTACACTAGCTGTGCTCTGACCATGACCAAGAGACTTCACTTCTTGTTTTTTTTTTTTTAAATCGAAACCTCATGCTCCACAAGTCAATGTGCATGTTTTCCAAGAATCCAAAGCTATATAAATAATAAATGCACTTCAGTCAGGTTCTTCTGAAAATAAACTATAAAAACACAAGATGTTAACATGTTAATAAGACTAAACATCCATGACTTAATAACAATCCCTTTCAAGGAATAGTCTGTGTAGTGTCACACTACAGTGAATTAAGCGCACGAAGAAGAAGATGATCAAGTCAAATAATCTTTAATAAATCGACAGAAGGGTAATTCACAGAAGGCAGGCAGGACACACACGTAGGGGCAACATTCACAATACCGGACCAGGGACAACTGAACAGGCTAGAACTAAAGTAGGGGTGCTAATGAGGGACAGACAGGTGAGGAGGATCAACTAATGAGGACACAGGTGAAATGACTAACATAATCAAACACGTGAGAAAACACAACAAAAGTCCATGAAAACTAAAAAGAACAGAACATAAGTGTGACATGTAGGTGACTTTGGCATTCTTGTCTTCAGAAGGCAATAAAGCATGATTTGAGTTAAAAATCCAATTAAACAAACACAGATCGCTAAAAGATTTTTAACTGAATCCAGCATTCTGACACAAGACTTTTAGTGTTATTAATATATTTATTAATACTTTGAATTAGCTTTATTTTTATATTTTCAATTTATGTTATGTGCTTTTTATTTAGCTTCAATTTCGTTTCGTTCAAGTTTTTTAAAGATTATTTAAATTTATTTCAAGGCAACATTTCTAATTTTTGTGGTTTTCAACTAAGATTTATATTTTATTACTGATTTGTTACAATGAAAGCTTTAAAACTTTAGTTGAAAGTGACGTGACATGTGGCCAAGTATGGTGACCCATACTTGAATTGTTCAAGCTTGTTTGTGATACCTGACTGGCACTCTCCCTTTTGCTGTTTTGTTTCATTTAACAAGTCTTTTGACCCATAACCGTTTTCACTGTGGGCGTCCTCCCTGATGTCAGAGTCACTCCCATCCACTTGATCATCTGTCTCTGGTTCCACCCTACTAAGTGACTGTGCAGTCTGCACATTCTCCTCATTATCACTGTCAGAGTCCACAGCAATTGGTTCTGAATTGACAAGTGCGCCAGGTTTTAAGGTGCTCTTCATTGAATCACTGCAGTTGCTCCCTATGATGGCCTTTTGACCATTCGAGTAGAGTGAGGCTTTGGTGGAAACCCTTGCTAGCATCCCATGCTTCTGCTGCAGGTCACCATTGGTTGTAGCTTTTTGCCGAAAGCGAATGGCATTGGCAGATCGGCCTATCCGATATCTAGTAGTTCGTCTTTTATGTTCACGGTTATGGTTCTTGAAATAGCACTTTGACTCAAAGTTCATGGGATGTTGCAAATCTATAATGTCTTCCATTTTAAATCCCAGCAGGACCCGAGTGTTTAAGGTCTCACAATTCAGCATACATCTCCGCCTTCGATTTGAGAAGTGGCTCGCAATGTCAGATTTCCAAAGCCAGAGACTGGACGCAAGCTTCTCCACCTCTCGGCGAGTGGGGTAGGGCTGCCTGTTGAAGTACTGAGTGAGGAAAGCTTTTCGTGTCTCGTAGGACTCATTCTCATAACCCTTCGGTTCCAAGGCAAAGACTACAGGTTCATCTTGTTTGTCAGTTGAAAGTGGTGGGCTATGCCCAGTCTGGTCATCGGTTGCAGATTTCCGTCTCTTTGGCTCAGTTTGGTCGAAGTTTGCTAAACCTGCCCGTTTGAGACCAGCCCCCTGGGCCTGTGCAACTCTTGCGGATGGAGCAGGTCGGCCATTCTGAGTTTTGCTGACACCGCGGCAGTGCACGAGATGCAAAGTGATCGTGGAAGCAGTCATGTTACTAGTGTAGACGCCAAGGCAATGGATGCATTTGTAGGTCAACTTCTTCTCCACAGGATGAACCGTTTGTATAACTTGATGGCGGTCACGCAAATGGTGAGCTAGAGAATCTGAAATAGGTCCCTTAAGAATTGAAAAGCAGAGAGGACAAAGTGTTTTGCCTACATCCTTCTTATAAGGTACAGCCGCTTGCGGTGTAGCCTTAGCCGGTATGGTGTCTGAGGCATCTCGGGGTATCTTTGGGACTGGTGGCATAACCGGTTTGTTCCCCTGCAATGATGGTGGTAATGCGCTGTTTTGGGCATGAAATGCCACTGATTCTTCTGGGGCATCCCGCATGTTATATGTGGTGACGATCAGCTGGACATTCTTGGGATTTCCCTGCTGAAGCGTGAGGTCAAATGTAAGTGGGGATTCTGTCCGTGGCCCAACAGATTCATTGGGATGCACCCCTCGCATATGAGTCACCATTTTTTCCACATCATTGAAAGAGGCCTTGCAGTGCGGGCAAGATAAGCCATGTATCAACATGTGGTTAAGAAGCGTGTCACTAGGTAGGTAGCGGTTACAGTATAAGCATTTACTAGTGAAGTTATGAATTTTCATGATGTAGTTGGCCACCGCCGGTACCTTCTCCGCTTTGTGTTCCTTTTCAAAATGCGAACTATACACATTTTCTGGAAAGAGCTCATTGCAGATGGTGCAGATCTTCCATTTTTGAGTGTATGACGTGCCGATGACAGAGTTGCCCTTCTTGGAAGTAACAGATGACACCGTAGTAGCTGCTGCCTGAACTCGAGAGTTCAGCTGAGGGATCTTTAAGATGGAAGTGGATGATGATCCAGAAACTGAACTACGAAGACTAGCAGAAAGCTGCGATTTGCTTGTTTGAGACTGCTGTGGGACTGAAAGCTGCACCTGTTGTCCCCCAATGGTCAAGGATTGTGTAGTCCCAGGCTTCAGACCAAATGCCCCCTGCTTCAGGTGAACACCTGACAGGAGCCCACTTGAGTTCAAACTCCCTTTAGGAATAACAATACGACTCAGCTGCTGAGCGGATAAAGGCCGTACTCCAGTCCCTACTGTACCCTTTGGCATTACACCAATGATGCCCTTATCACCCTGAGCTTTAGTGGACACCATAATCACAGGCTTTGCCCGAGGTACCACAACATTGGTGTGTCCAATCATAGCAGTAACTTGATAACCAATGCGCTCATGGTCCTCAATGACATGCTGCACAAGGGCTTCATAGGTACGAGGTACAAAGAGGCACCGTTTGCAGTGGATGGCTGTGCTCGTACTGTTGGTACCACCAGAATCAGCATTGCTTCCTGTTCCAGAGCCTGCAGTTGTCCCATTGGCTGGTGTTGTCTTCTCACCAGGCCTCACTAAGTACGGTGCCGCTACGTGCTGGAAATGTTCCCGGTAGATATGCTTTCGCACCACATTATATAGCGGGTCCCTGTAAGTGCATTTCTTGCAGTAGTACACTGCTTGCTCTATATTGTCACGTGTCTTATCCAGACGAGCACCATCCTTCAAGCCAACCCCTGCCCCCTGAAGTCCTCCAGCATTCTGGCGCACAACATTGTTGGGCATATGAAACAGTCTGATGTGTGTCTCCAAAGTCTTTTTGTTCCCATTGTAAGTGCAATAGGGGCAGTTAAGGAGAATGCGGTTTTCAAAGTCCTCGCTGTGCACATTACGAAAGTGACTCTTGTAGGCGGAGAAAAACTTGGAGGAGAATGTACATCCTGAACAACAGAACGGCTTTGAGCGGTACTCCTAAAAAGAAAAAGACGACAAATGGGCAAAGAAAAAAACGGAGATGGGTTTAAAAAAAAAAATAGACAAGATTAATAAAAAATGCTTCCCCTGTCCTTTATTAAGATTTAAGTTATAACTCACTTGTGATTTGGTCATTGAGGGATTCCACATGCACACGTCGTCCCATGTGGTGTTCTTAAGGTAGAACTCATTGGGAACAAAGTCCTTATAGTCCTGGAGGGGAAAAAGAACAAATAAAAAGTCTTTGTAGAAGAAATTTTTCAAATGCTTTACACATGTACTTTAGTGTAAAACGAATAAAGAAAAACTAATGAACTGCTTTGCACTGAATCAATCAGTTCACACAAACTGATTAACAGAAATAAATTCTAAACTTCCTAACTCTGCTATTTGAGGTTTGAATCAGAGATGTTAATAAAATAGCTCTTTCTTATAGTTCATAAGCAAGCAACTCGATACTAGGCATGGTTTTTAGGAAATTGAATGGCCAAAATGTGCATTATAAATCAAGTATAAATCACTTTATCAGACAGAAATCATAAAATACAGCCTTTTATTATAATAATTACAAATATTTCACCTTCAAACAGATTTTCCTTTGTGGTGCTGTTTTAGAATACTGGAATAAACTAAATTAAATAAATAAAATTTTGTCAGGCAACTAAAGTAGTGGATTTATCAAAAACAAGGGAGGCGGCTTTATTTCTGGCAAAAGTTCAGTTATCTCAAATACCAAAAGTTCACAGGGACCTACTTCATAATCTAAAGAAACTGCATCATATGTGTTACTGTGTTAGCAAAAAAATACTGTCAAGACTCAAAGTAAGAAGATAAATGGTAAAAGCATATCAACAAGCTGATTTCACAGATTTTACAGCTACAGAGCTAATGGAAACACGGTGACACAGAATGTAACATAATAAACACTAAACCCTTTGGAGCTGTCTTAAGGGGACTCAGATGGTCCATGATAGTGAGCATGTACTTCATTGCCTGAAATTTACTTACATCAATGTGCTCCCTGCAAAACTCCAAGCCAATGTCACCCAGCACGTTTTTCACATTCTTCCTAGCTTTCCTTAGACTGCTGATGTTGTTCACTGGGAGTTGAAACATTCTGCCACCTGAAAATAAATTCATCACATTATTGCCATCATGAATGAATAATAAACATTTTGTATTGTTTGAATGACTTTAGAGAACATGAATAATACATGAATAGTATATTAAAATATATCTCACTGTGACACTATCAATTTGACTGTTTAAATGCACCTTAATCCAAATCATAAACAAATGCTCATGTCAGAGAAACGGTCACTAGGAGAGGAAAAGGTCTAAAGCAAAACAAATGAGTCAGAGAGCATCTTTCTCATCACAGCCTGGGAAAATGAGCTGCATACTAAACACAGACAGCAAAAAGCCAACTTACCTTTGACACCATGCAATATCACTTTTCTTATTTTACAATAGTGTTTTCCAACTTTTATTTCTAAATCAAAAGCCACAACCAACAAATGTATTTATGAATTAAATTCCAAATAGTCGTTTCACAACAGTAAACTAATTTGCGGCCTTTGTATGGTGGCATGCAATTATCATCAAAGGTACTTCTACAAATGAGAATGTCAATGAGAATAAGGAGAGTCAATGTATGAGGTGAAGATGAAAGAAATCAACCTCTGTCTGAAGTATCGGCCTATGTGGTAGTCTATAATTGATCCAAACAAACTGACACAACCTTAAATGTTTTGTTAAAAAGGAACTGAATGCATTAAATTTTTTTCTTAATTATGATATAACTCACTTTAATTAAATTTAAATAAACCCAAAAGTTTGGGGTCTGAAAGATTTTTTTAATGTTTCTGAAGGAAGTTTCTTATGCCCACCAAAGCTACATTTATTTGATCAACAATACAGTAAAAACAGTAATATTGTAAAATATTAATACATTTTAAAAATAACTGTTTTCTATTTTAATATGTTTTAAAATGAATTTATCGCTGTGAGGCCAAAGCTGAATTTCAGCACCATTAATCCAGTCTTCAGTGTCACATGATCCTTCAAAAATTATTTTAATATGCTAATTTGGTAGTTTTTTTTTAAAATTTACATTTTAAAGATTTTATTATTAACATTTATTATTATTATTATTATTATTCCAAAATGATTCATTTTATGCTTTATTTTTCAGGATTCTTTGAGTTCAAAAGAGCATCAGTTACTTGAAACAGAAATCTACTGTCACTTCTGGTGCATCTTTACTCTAACAATTTTCTGCATCTCAATAGAATATATATTAAATCTATTTTACATGTAATACCAAAGCAAAATCAAAATCTTTCCAAGCACCAAGTACAAGTGCTTCAGCACATGATGTCTATGGGATGGCACCATTTCAAAAAATGATTGCACAACCGAAAAACACAAACGCATCCAATTAATCTGTGGCCAACATTCTACAGTACCAGCATTGCAGATTTGTGCTCTAATGAATATTGCACATGAAGAGCCAAACATGCACAACTGCAACGCTAAATTAGGCCGATCCCACATCAGCCCGCAAAAATTAGGTCAAAGTTAAACTAAGGTCAAAGGTCATGTACCTATCGGAGTGGCCTTCATGGAAAACCTGCATCAGCTCTTGGCGTCACCAATCACAAGCATCATACGGTACACCCTGCTTGAACAAAGAGCAGTAGTTTCACTTCGGCACTGAATAGGGGCTCTCTCTCTTTGGTTAGGCGTTCCTCGTCACCTCACTGACTTTCTCCCATCCTTTCTAGATGGCGCTAGAGGACAGCTCTTCCTCCATGTTATATAAGCCTCTCCCTGTTCTGCCTGCCCTTTTTCCGCTCCCTTTTTTGTGCAGGCTTCTGCATTACAGCCCTGGAATGGCGCCTCCTGTTGAGGCAGCAGTAGAGGCCAGTGTGTGGAAAGCCATATCTGCAGTGTCTGCTCTGGGTGGAGGTTATCTGATGATCTCCTAGCATACAGATGACTTGGTTTGCATGCATACGCAAACAGAAAATAAAAATATCTGTCACATTTTAATTAACTGCCTCATGGCCGTCCATATCCAAAAAACATGGACCCTGTGCGAATGAGAAAAACATACTGCTGGTAAATACATTCAGCATCATCTTTTCATCAAAGGCCCAACACCACAGCTACAGTTGCGAAAATAACATTGCATATATTAAACACACACACAGCATGATAAACATAAGCTGTCAAAATGTGAAATTCAAGCACCGCATTTTGCTGAATGACATCTATAACGTTACTACCCAGGACGGTAAATACTAAAGTAAATATCAAACTTGCCATTTAAAGAACAACAATTATTACAAATATAGAGCAAAATCGAGCAGGCAAGTACATGAGTATGACACACAGACGAGGAAAACAACTGACCAATTAGTGACCAAGACCAGTCACACGTTGGTCTGTTTGGTTTGTTGACATGTCAAACGCAATCAAATCCTACAAGCGCCAACTTTGCTCCTTTATTAGTAAAACTGCACGCGCTCAACTGATTCGTAAATGAAAAGGACAATTGACCAATAACAAAAAAAAGACTAAAATCACTTATTCAACCTAATACTTCTCCATACACGACTTTCTTTTATCTGCGCAAAACAAAAGAAGTCAGACAGAATGACAGCCTCAGTCACCATTCACTTTCAGTGCATCTTTTTTCCAAACAATAAAACTGACTGAGGCGGTCATTCTGATTAACATTTCCTTTAGCTTATCTCAGAAAGTCATACAGGCTCAGAACAACGCGAGGGCGAATAAACGACGACACACTTTGTTTGATCTTTGGTGAACTGTCCCTTTAACGATTGATTCGTTGCAGCGCGAGCTTTTTGTGACGAGTTCGTTTGTCAAATCAAACGGAGATATAACACAGCGGGCTGGAGCGGGTGCTCGGATTTAGGGTCTGTGTGAATGATAAAACCCTCAGTTACACTTTCGACGGTAAGAACACATCAATAAAAACTTTATTTTTAATTCACGACCTGAGAACTGTTTAACAACCGTGCGACACAAACAATTAGCTAGGTTTGCCACTTGAGAGTCTGGTTAAGTCCTTTCAGATTTCCTCCAGTTATTATTAATAAGTTAGCAGGTCCCTTAGTTAATACTCATTCGGTTTCGTTCCCCGAACGCACAACGGGGAGCGAGTTGAACGTTACCTGGCCCGAGCTCCGCTAGCTGCAGCGCGTAATGTCACTTTCCCGCCGCCCGAACCGAGCGCCTCGTCCTCCGCTTCCCAGGCGGACACACACCGCCGAAAGAGGGAGCTCGACTCCTGTCACGGGCCGACCCAGAGCTGTCTGTCTGCCGGGAATGAGCTGCTGCAACTCATCTAGCGGAGTCTGTGCCGGTCTACGGGGGTCCCGGAGGGGAGAAGGAGAGCGAGTGCTGCGTTTGCGATGATGCAGAGTCCAGAAGACGCTCGATGACGGTGTAATTGACAGCAATTAACGTAATTCGCCATCCACTTAAACAATACGACCCGGTCCAGTACCTATACTATCCAAAATGGCGTGTGAAAAGTGGCGGAAGTGACATGTGCGTTTGATTAGAATAAAAAAAGCATTGTGCCGACTGAGAAGCGGTGGGTGGGGGATTATGTGGTGAGAGGTGTCAGACGACCACCAATCCAATATTTACCCCCATGTAAGCTTACCTGGAATGCACAAGTGTATCTGTGCGCGCATAAAATGTTTTATTACATGCTTCCGAAATTGGTGTAAACAGCCCCTGGGTGCAGTTACATTGAATGAACCCATAGGGGGCGCTATTGGCTGAAACTTGATTGGATAGAGGCGTATGCGTCAATTCTGCATCTGGTATCTACCCCCGCAGAGAGTCGGATGTATACAGTGCCTCAGTACTCGGCCAGCATCGGGTGGTGGCGCTGTACCACGCTCATGCGCAACTCACCGGGACTACTTCTGCATGTTAAGTGCTGGGGTTGCAGACTGAGCCATGGTGATTCCCCCACCCTCTGGCCCTTGAGCTCTAGAGTTATTTCCCCCTTGGTGTTGGCTGCATCTAACTCGCCCGCGCAGCTCCTTGCATTACACTAGTTTGGGTGTCATTTGAGACATAACACCCAGAGAGAGAAGAAAATATTTCCTTTTGGATATGTCAACAAGACAGGGTAGACACTCGAGAGATTGACTGCAGTAGCTCTTAGGATGTAGGCTGTTGTTTTCTTCTGACATTGATGTGTGAAATTAAGTGCATATATAACTTCATCAGTTTTGATGCAAGTCCAAAGTATTTTATAAATAACACACATCCAGATGAAAATGTCCAAATACATTGCATAACCCAACTGATCTGCAACATTAAATGTTTATTTCAAAGCATAAATCTCTATAGCCAAAAATGGATCTCAGGCTGTTAAAAAGGTCAATTTACATACATTAGTGTGCTTGGGCACTAGCTCTACCTAAAATGGCACTACTTTCCATTGCATGAAAGGTTCTTTATAGTGAAAAAAGGTTCCTTACATTATTAAAATGTTCATCAGTTTTTTGAGAACTTCACTAAAGGTTCTTTGGGGAACCAAGAATGGTTCTATGCTATGGCTATGAAATCCCCCTTTGGAACCCCCTTTATTTTTGTAAGAGTTTTTTGTTATAAAAAAAAATTCTGTCAATTTGGTCCTTTTTATTAAAATGTAGATTTTTTTTTAAACATTTGAATGTACATTTCAACATATAGTCTGGTAATTAACCAAACTAAATGGAAGATGGAAAGTGGTAAATCCAAGCAATCCAAACACTACTGTAACCTGATATGGGACAAATAACTCATTGTAATGAACTTGTTACTTGGAAAGCATGAATTCCAGTTCGACTGCAGTGATAAGTGCTGACCATATATCACAAAACTAAACACAACCAAATGAGGTCAAATGTCATGTAGTGGCAAAAAGAGTGAGCAATCCTTTCAGGAAGGAGACAATTTCATTTCCACCCAATTTGGACTCCCCATAAACACGGTCCACAAATGAAATAGGAACCTGCGTAATAGACAGACAAGACCACTTTCAGATAATCATTAAAAAATGCAGTCTGCTACATTGAAATAGATTTAAAAATACTTAACTTGAATTTATAAATGAATGCATGTATTAAATAAAGTTCAGTATAATACAGCAATACAATTCACAGTCTTATTATGTAAATGTATAATCTAAACTATATTTTATTTAGGGCTGGTCATTTAATGTGTTAATTAGATTAATTAATATAACTCTCTCTATAGCTCTCGCGATACTTTGATGTGATGATCCGCTTCAAGTCGAACAAGCCTAATGATTCAATGGACCATTCATAAAGAACCATTTCCTTCACTCCTGAATGAATCAGCCATTTGAACGAATCAAATGAATGAATGAATAAATGACTCAATGACTTAATCATTAAGACATTTACCACCACCTACTGGAAGTTTTAGTTTATTATTTAGAGTATCATTTCATTAAAGAAATAATTTCGTATTTCCATAGTAATAATAATACAATTAATAAAATAAATTATTAAAGGTATAGTTCACCCACCCAAAAATGACAATTGTGTCATCATTTACTCACCCTCATGGTCCAAAAGAGTATATGTAATCAATTTTATCAAACAAAATATTTCTCGCTGAAGCTACTTTTTGTAATGTCTGTTTCATGCTTTACACAACAATGACTTTAAATGATCTTTTGGGAGTAATTTCTCAGCCAAATTTAATGTGCGATTAATTAGATAAAAAATGTTAATTGCTTGCCAGCCCTAATTTTATCTATTAAAATATTAACAAGATTTATAAGAAATGTGGAATGAGAGATGCGTGCTGACCTCTCCAACAGTATAGCCCAGTTGTCTAGCACGGACAATCATCTCCATCTGGAACGCATAGCCTTTTGACACACACTGCTCTACTAAGTTTTCAAGAACCTCTTTCTTATAGAGCCTGAAACATAGAACACAAGATAGGAGACAATAATACAATATTGTAATATAAAAAACGTGGTTTCAAAACAAAACAATGATTAATTTATTAACATGCCCTTACCTAAAACTCCCCGTGAGATCAGATGCTCCTGGTCTGAGCAGCACTTGTGTTACAAAGTTTGCACCTCGACTAAAAGGAAACAATCATTACAAAAAAGTAATTTTGTGCCATAAAATCAATTATACATGAAAAATGATACCTGACCTATGCATTTGGCAGTAACTATTATTATAAAATGTAGCTTCCAGTCACACACCTGATCAGTTTCCGGCGCAGATCCCATCCATATACACCACCGTCTCCTCTGTACCTTGTTCCAGACACCAGGTCATATCCACCTTCTTTCTGTTTTCTGAACAAAACAAATAAATAATAATATCACAAAAGTGGCTGTTATACAATTGCACATGATAATGCTATTATAGCAAAACTACACTACACAATACAATGAGCAGATAAAATGTCTTTTAACAGCAGAGGCATAAGGTAATTGAAAGAAAATGACTTACTCAATGAACTGTGCGATAAACTTTGGCTGTGAGGGAGAAGAATAAAACACTTAATGTACACAAATGCTCCTGAAGGTTTCATTTAGTGAAAGTAGGATCAAATTATCCATTTTAAATTCCTAAAAATCTGTGAGTAAACATGCTTGAAGCTATCCAACACTTTTTTTTTTACATCGATTTTCATGACATTTCCAGTGGTTTTTAAAATTAACTTACTATTCACTAAGGAGTATGTCAGACTATATATATATAATAAAATAAAACATAAAAAGACAATTATGAATTAAACATAAGCTAAAACATAATTATGAAATAAAAAGGAATTAGAAAATCTAAATGATCATAATCATAAGTCATATGACTTAGTATCTCATAGTTTTAACTTCTCATAATGACTGATCTGATCTTGACTCTTTAAAAAAAAAAAATCTCATTCTCTTTTTCCTGTGTTATAATTATGACTTTTAATCTCTTAATTATAGTTTACCAAAATAAGATTTTTTTCTTGTGTGGCAGAATAAGCTTCCATAGATACATTGAAAAGACCCGACTCAAAATAATGATTCTCAATATGATGATTCTCAGCAAGCCTTGTTAGCATCTTCTTGTACTCTATATCCAATAGAAGTATGCAACTATTTTCAGTATTTCCAGAAACATGAATACCAGTGTTTACTCAAGGAGGTACAAAACAGTATACAATGGAAGAGTACTTACATGATGTGAGAGATCTGCATCCATAATGATAACGAAGTTTCCCGACGGTACACATGAAGCGCGCGCACTAAAACAGCGCCTGATTACTAGACTAAGTGGTCTTTCGCATCTAATACGGTCAAAAACACACAAGGTTGACATTTAAACACAGTTGGTTGTCTAAAAAGAAAGTAAACAGTTGAGAGAGAAAGGGATGCATGCAGCTATTTAAGCTACTAAACATGCTGCAGCTTGTCATTAAAGGAATAGTTCACCCAAAAATTCAATTTCTGTCATTATTTGCTCACTCACATTGTCCCAAAGCTGTATTCATTTCTTTCTTGTGCTGAACACAAAATAAGATATTTTGAAGAATATGGGTTACCAAACGTAATGTTTAAAAAGATTTTTATTTCAAATAAATGCTGATCTTTTGAACTTTCTATTCATCACAGAATCCTGTAAAAATGTATCACAGATTATACACATTACAGTTTGTGTTTATTTTTTTTAAATCAAATAAATGCATCCTTGGAGAGAATAAGAGGCTCTTTTACTACTTCAGTGTGTCTCTCAGGTAAATTTTAAAAAGATGTTTATCTATTTTATTTGAAAACAAGACAAAAATACTAATTAAAAATATATTTTTGCAATTATTTTGATACAGAAACCTAAATATGATGATATAAATAATGAAGACCCCTTTAAAACAATTTACAAAGACAGCTGTGTGACACACAGATATGCTTCAATACCTGCAAAACCTTTTATTCCTTGTGGTCCCACCGCATTTACTCCAAGAGAGCCCTTCTCACCAGGCATCCCTCTGCGTCCTACAAGTTAATCACAGAAATACTTACATAACGTAATCCAGAATTTCTATAAATCAACTAATGTGTCTAATGACAACCATCAGATGTGGTGTTTGCCCGGCAGATTGCATCTCCAAAGAAATGAAAATGTCAAGGCTTACCCTGCTCACCAGGGTACCCTGGTTTCCCAGACTCCCCTCTGCTTCCTTGTCGACCCTGAGGGCCTCGGGATCCAGGTGGCCCCCTTCCCCCTGGTATCCCAGGCTCTCCTGGTGGTGCTACTGGTTCCTGGATGGGCACTGGCTTTCGATTCATCTCATTTAGAAAAGCATCCAACTTCAGAACTTCATCTAAAACACAGTTTTATATCAGCTCATAATTGATATGCACTTACACAGGCCAAGATTCCCATTAAAGATGCTTTTAAATTCTGCATTTATTGTGACTTAATTAAAATGGATGTAGTGAATATACTACATACTGTGCACAAGTTTTTCGCAGGCCTGTGTAACAAGTTGGTAGATCATGGCAAGAGACTGTGGCTCACCCTAACAAACAGAAGAATTATTAAAACAAACAAAACCTATTTTATGGTTTGCATATAGCAAAGATGTAATTTTGCAACCCACCTTCTCTCCTCTCTCACCCTTACTTCCGGAAAGACCCTGTGAAAGAGAAAAAATAATCTGGAACATCTACTTAAATCCAAAATTTTTCAAATACATCAAATCTTTTCTGGCCATCTATCTCAGCTGGACTGGATGGATGAAGGACATAAAGAGTAATAGAGCACAATTTTACTTACGGTGGGCCCTACGGGACCTAATGGCCCTCTCACTCCCACTGGCCCTGGGTGACCAGGCATACCCTGGAAGCCCTACAAATTGTAGACACAGAAATGTAAAAAAGAGTGCAGTGAAAGCATGTACAGTATGAAATATTCAATGAATGCATATAGGTAAGTCTAAGTCTTACTCTTGGGCCTGTGATTCCTGGGCTACCGATGTTACCCTCCACTCCTCTGGTGCCCTGTGGGCAATTTATTGACATAAGGATGTATGACAGACTGAACATTTCAAACACACTTAGGACAATACCTGCCTCAAACCACACAGAGACTTACCTTAGGACCAGACATGCCCTCTTCACCTTTTGGACCAGGAGGCCCTGGTAAACCCTATTAACACAAAGTAAAAAAAAAAGTGAGATATACCAGAAAAAAACAAACAAAACCCACTAATATGATCAACTACAAACATGGCCTATAAGATGGTTGTTGAAGCTCACCTGGCTCCCAGGCCTTCCAATGTCTCCTTTTTCCCCTCTTGCTCCTGGTGGGCCCTTATTAAGACAAAGAGAGAGGGTTTAAATCTGTTCCAAATGCTAATACATTAGATCTTCTCTGTAGAACAAGTGTAGGCGTACCACTTTGCCCATTACAGCTATTCCCCGTGGACCAGCGGGTCCAAGAGTGCCAAAGCCGCCCTCAGGGCCCGGTTTACCAGGTGGACCCACCTCTCCCTGGAGAGATGCAGAAAAGGAACAACAACAGAAACAAAAGTGACAGTAAATACATATATAATGTTTCAAAAGATTTCTATTTTAAATAAATGCTGTTATTTTGAACATTCTTTTCATCAAAGAATCAGCATATTAGAATGATTTCTGAATGATCATGTGACACTGAAGACTGGAGTAATGATGCTGAAAATTCAGCTTTGCTATCACAGAAATAAATTACATTTTAAAATATATTCAAACAGAAAACAGTTACTTTAAATGTTTTTAAATTGTGCTGTGGATTAGTGGTTAACATAATAGTTGTATGCACAAACCCAACTTTATATTCATGTTTCCTTACCTTTTGTCCCACCTCTCCTTTGTCTCCCTTCTCCCCACGAGGGCCAGGTCTCCCCTGAATACAAGCATACCATTACACCAATAATGATCATAACACTGATTATTAAAATGGTTTCACAAGCTTTCTAATGTTCGTGTCAGTTTAAAAATGCAGCGTTGTAGTCTCACAGGTGGCCCAGTGTCTCCAGGTGCTCCAGGGACGTCGGTGGTGCAGGTGCACGCATAAGCAGGGGCAGGACAGCTCTCCTCATCTCTCTAGAGAACAGAGAGCCACACTTAAATTACAGAAGCAACTTTAAGACATCCTGCACTATATAATGTAATTCAGTGCCATCTATGTATTGATATGTCAACTCAACCTAGACTGATCATGTACCTGTGAGGGCAGATCACAGCAGTTGTCTTCTGATGCCCAAGTAGTGTTGCACACAATCTCAAAGGACTGCAGCTGGAACTGCAGAAAAATATAAATACACCTTAATGTGTGTATATACATTACTTTCCTCAGTATGTTTGTGGTCATGAGGTGAGACTCACAGTCGCAGATCCACTGTGAGGTCCACGTGTCCTCACTAGTTTGCCCAACATCTCAAAACCATCAGTGGGCAAAGTTCCCAAGGGGCGTGCGGACCTCTCGCCAACCCGCTGGCAATCTACAGACAGAGATACACTCACCTGACTGACCAACAAATGGATCTGCCAATCAGATAAAGAGATGAGAACAATCAGTGGCAAATTAAATGCTGTTTTTCTTTTTATCCCTCACTCAAAATTCTCAACTGACTCTTCGCTAATCCCTGTCCTAAAACATTACTGACCAATCCTTAGAAAATGCTGCTATCTATCATTTTGAGAGAAGCTTTTGCGCTTTTCTATCTATAAAATCTATAAGTAAATGTAAGCTTTCAAATTAGGCTTTTCTCTTTTTAGTTGATGTCGAGAAGTGTTTGCCTACATTCTGATTTTAAGTTACATTTTTTATGTGAAATGGCTTATAAGTACAAATAATGTAATAACCATCACTGTTGGAAATCTCCAGTTCATTCCTATGGGACATTCTGTAAAGCTTGTCCGACATTAACTAAAAAAACCTTTCACACAAACCTTATGAAAGCTTCCATAGAAAACTGAGCGGACTTGTGGCTGGTCAAAGGTCAGTTCCTGTATCTCTCCTCTGTAGTCCAGACTGAAATACAGCAGAACCTTCTTCTCAGCTAAATAGAGAATAAGCATCTAATGAACTTGGGATTTACAATTCAATAGTCCTTGAATTTATCTACTCAAGTGTCCAGGCACTCACTGTCCAGAACCACCCCCATCTTGGGCTGGAAGTCATTGTCCGTGAGCTGCCAGAGGGCGAAGGGCTCCCTGGGTGAATCCTGCAAGAGCCTGAAGGCCATGCTGATGGTGTGTTCTGGAGAGAAGCCAGCCGGATGAATGAAGCTGAGACAGACAGACAGACAGGGTGTGAGCACTGAATGACGGGTGTAACTGAGCTGTTTAATAATATGTGCATGCGTGTGTTTTGTGTTCTCACCCTGTGCTCTGGGTCAGCTGTACGTCTCTGTAGAGGGTGTAACTGGGTAAGGTGCTGAAGATGAAAGGTTCAGCTGCCACACCCTCAATAGTAGAGTGTGCCCTCTGAGTTAGACCGAACGCTTCCATCATGTCGAAGCCTGGAAAACACAAATTCACTTTTTTTTTTTTTTTTTTTTACAGTTTAGGGCTCAACAGTAAGGATGGCCTGTTAACTCAGGTTTGATATGTAAGAGTTTACATATCAATTTAATCTTGGCGCTTCCTGTAAAAATAATGAAAGTAACTATATTTTCCAGCTAATTTTATTTCTAAACAAAATTTACAAAAACATTGAATGCAAAGAATTTATAAAAACTACTGTTAAAATACTTCATTTGAAATAAAATCTAAATGCAAAATTTATATGAAAATCTTAAATGATAAAAATTGTTTTAAAATGAGAAATAAAATAAAAATTTTAATATAAAATCAGATATTTAAATCTTAAAAAATTTGTTGGGCACCAGTGAAATTAAGTATTGGCTAGAATGAGCAAACAGAAAAAAATCCTTACTGTTGAGACTTACTGAGAAAGTCAGTAGGCTATAATTTTTTGTTACCATATTTGCTCTGCAAAGCACAAAAAGTAGAGCATAGTGCTAGAAAATGCCAAGGTCATGGATTTGAGTTCCAGGGAATGTGTGAACTGATCATACATACACCTAAATGTCAATGCAAGTCATTTTGGACAAAAGCATTTGCCAAATGCATAAGTGTAAAATGTAAATATGACCATACCTTTAACCACATGGTTTCTGACCGTCGTCTCAGGACACACTGAGAAATAAAAAAGACATCATGTTATGTTTGAAGAAAGCTATATTTTTATCAAAAGCAGTGTAAAGGCCTGTTCACACCAAAAGTGATGCGGAAAAGCAAAGCGAATTGCTTTCGGTTCATTTGCATTCAGTAAATTTCCATTGTTCTCTTGTCAAATTAATTGGTTTGGTGTGAATAGATCAAAAGGTATGTATTATTTTTATTCAAAATCCTGATTTCACTGAATGCTCATGGAAATATCTGTGTTTTGATTTGAACAGGCCTTAAAACTGTTGCAACCTTTACCTTCTCTTTGTACGGGATGCAGCCGAGGAGGAACCTGAATTCTCACTGGAGCGGTTGCTTTATGAGAGAATTACATACTATTACAGTTGAGCAAAACAAACATCAGTTATTTTTTTAGCCTAAAGTTTGACTCAAACAGGACTCTGACCTGTAGGGTGAAGGATAGTGACCGCAGCGCCCTCTACTGTTCCCACACGGGAGTGCACACTGATGCGGTAGACAGTTTCCGGCTGCAGCTCAGAGAAACAGTGACTGCTGCTAGCAGCATCTACTATGTCCTCTTTAGTCTGTTTATCTGAGCACAAATGTCCAGAGATAAAAGTAAATAACTTAAAACAAACTGCCTGTTCAGAACTTTTTCCAAAAACAGTTAAGCTGAGCTGCTACCTCTGAGGGCCTGGATGACTATGCGATAACCACTGACCGCTGGCACGGGCCTCCAGGACACACATATACTGGAGTGGTCAGATCGCACCACACTCACGCTGCTCACTCGCAGACTGGCTGGTTGTGCAGAGAGAGAAACACACATAGGAGAGTAAATCCGAGACAATGCAATGTAAAGTGGGAACTTGGGAAGTTTATACACTGTAATACTAGAGAGAGATACTGTATTGATGTGTCTGTGTGTGACTCACTGGTCTTCCCCTGGGCTGAGGCGCTGCCACCCTCTCTGTTGCGGTACTCAGCAGTCACCAGCACACTGTAACGAGTGTCAGGCAGCAGATTCTGCAGCAGGACGCGCCTCTCGCTGCCGGGCAATGACACCTATTTAACCAACACAAAAAAATGACACCTCGTTTACAACACAACAAACAAATTAAGCAAAGGTGAGATGTTCCAGGGTTATTATAGCTTTGAATTTAGTATTTACTTCTATTTTATTTTCAATTTATCCTTTAGTTTAATTTGAATTTTTTTCTCTTTTTTTGCGGTTTTCTATTTGAACATATTTTAAAATGTAATTTAATTCTGTGATGGCACAGCTGAATTTTCAGCAGCCATTACTCCAGTCCTCAGTGCCACATGACACTGAAAAAAAAATATGCTGATTTGATGCTCAAGACTTTTTTTTTAATTATTATTATCAATGCTGAAAACAGTTGTGCTGTAGTATCTAAGACTGTGATGCATTGTTTTCAGGAATTTTTTGATCAATAGAAAGTTCAAAAGAACTGCATTTATTTGAAATAGGAATATTTTGTAACAAATATCTTTACTGACACTTTTGATCAATTTAATAAATCCTTGCTTAAATAAAATATTAATTCCTTTAAAAAAATCGTAAAATTTTGAATCATATCAATATCATATGGTAGGATATTAATATTATAATAATATATTAATATAACAGTTACATTTTTTAGGGCCATCTAGTGTTATCACTATCAATTTTTAATAATTAAAATTGATTTAGTCAATGGTCATTATTAATTAATTAATTTTAGAGTCACTTAATTGTTTTGTAATCAGGGCTCTGAACCGGCTCAAGGAACGAAAACGAACGAAATTTTGACAGGAACAGAACCAGAAACAAAATCTAATTTTATAGTTCCGAATAGAATCGAAATTTGAAATGGCCATTAACCGGTTAATAACCTTATTTTATGGTTCCATTTAATATTTTAAATTTGCTGTCAACCAATCATGAAAAACGGGACGGCAGAAAGTAGTTTCAGAAAGTAGTTTTTTTTAAATAATATTTTAGCATCCAGATTGCGAATATGTAAACATTTAGATTCGTGCCGAATGAGAGAGGTAGGCATCAGTTTCATTCGTTTTTGGATTGACATTTTTATAGCCTAAACGCATAGCCTTAACTTTAGATGATTTGTTGTGGAGAGAAACTAATAACTGTGTTTATAATGTTTGTAAACATTTTGCATTTTAGCCTACATTATTTCTGAATGTAACAATAAAATGCGACGTGAGCCTATACGCGGCTTTTTTTCACTCTCAAAACGCAATCTTATACAAGTAGCATATCCTCCTGAGAACCAGAAATAAAAAGCTTTGTGAATTTAGTATTTTTTCATGCCATTACATTGTTTAGAGCATAAGAAAAAAATGGTAAAATAACATTTTTGAAAAATTATATTTTATTTATGTGTTATGCTATGTCCTCTGTAGAGGACAGCAGGAGGGTTTTAACAATGCAGCAAACATTTTTAAATATCTTAAAAAATACTTTAATGTCTTTAAAGTGTTAATAGATTTTTTCTTTTGTTTAGTAGCCTACATTCGGCCGAAATCTAGAAAAGATGATGCTGTATTGCATAAGCAAGTGATAAGCATACCAGATACCAGATCTCCTCCTGTTTTTTTTTTTCCTTTTGAGTAAAAACAAATGCTGTACTTTTATTATTATTATTACAGGCAAAGAATTTATATATATATATATATAAATAACGTTATTAACTGGTATTTCTTCTACTCGAACTGGTTTCAGAACGATAATAATACAGAGAAACGCAGGAACAGAAACGTTAAAATATCGATTCTGCTCAGAGTGAACCGATTTAATTTTTTTTTTCAAGCCCTGTTTGTAATTAAAAAAAATGTCCAGTTGTTTTTATTTTTATTTCAGCTATCAGAAGTTTTTTCATTTATTTGGTGTCAACTAGTCTTTACATTGTCTGAAGAAAATATGTATGGTGTTTGCCCATTCATAGGCCAATGCCACAAACTTCAGGTTTTGTGCGTGGTTGTCAAGCAATTACAATATGGTTGCTAAGGTAGCCTGAGTGGTTTTAAGTGCCTTTTTTCTAAATGGTTTTGAGTGGTTGCTATAAGAGCCCAAGTACTCATGTCTCTATAATACCTGTTCCCAAAATATGGGATCTATAGGGCACGTAGATGGAGATAAGTCAGTTCAAATTCACACAAGTAGGGCTGGGCAAAAAATCGAATGCGATTTTCATGCGAATCTCGTCAGTAAAGCCGCTTCTGGTGATTAGTAGTAAATCTCCAGCACGTGCTTTCAGATGGAGCGGCATTTACTCGCAGGCGATTCATTGCCCATTTTGAATGCGATTTTGTGTAGCTTGTTGGTGAACAACGGCTCTGTGTAGTAAATGCCGCTCCATCTGAAAGCACGTGCTGATTTTTTGCACAGCCCTACACACAGGCAATACAAAATAAGAGGTTTCACTCTTCTAAAAGCACTCACTGTGTTTTCCCTTGCATCCCCATTCAGTGGAGTGTACAACACACGGTACTGCAGCACATGAGCGTTGGGGTGAACCCAGGTGACCAGCATACTGACTGCTGTCTCCTCTGAGATGGACAAACTGCTCGGACCACCTCCAGATACTAAAGCAACACAAAAAATGCAGCACAGTTATTCACATGTTGTAATCAAAGGTATCACATGCATATAAGTATATATACTCACAGGTGCTGTATCGTATAGCCACAGCCTCACTCTGAGCGCCATCGGCATATAATGCGGAAAGTGAAATCTGATATTCCTTATCTTCCTTAACCTCTTCCAAGATTGCCCCCTCACTCTCCCCATCTAATGTCAACTGTAATATATTCATGAATTACCACCTATTATCACCTAATTCTATAAATAACACATTTATGTAAACTATTTCAATCAGTACTGACAGCACAGATATAACAAAGGAAGTGTTAGAGCTGGAGCTAACCTGCCTGAGGTCTCCTTCACTGAGGGAGATCCATTTGATGAGATAAGAGACCACATCATCCGCCGCCGCTTCCCATCGCACTGTTATGTCACTGCCGGAGAAGTTAGTGACTCTCAGATCCGAGGGAGCTGGGACTCTTACTGGAAGATTAAAGATAATATAATGAACAATCTTCTAAACTGAAGTAACAAAAATTAAACGTGTCAAAATGTGTGCAACTTACAGGTAGTGACATTGGCTGTGATAGGAGTGGACAGGCCCTTTTCGTAGAGAGACTGAACTGACACCAGATACCTGGAGAGGGAAGACAGATTCTGCAGCAACACTGTGTTCACACCTTTGACCTCCACCTGAGAAACAGAGAGAACATAGTGAACATTGAACATATGCTGATTTGGTGCATTTATTATTATTAACAATGTTGAAAATAGTTGTGCTGCTTAATATTTTTGTGGAATACATAATTTTCGAGATTCTTTGATGAATTTGATATTCAAAAGAACTGCATTTATTTGAAATAGAAATCTTTTGATCAGTTTTAATGCATCCTTGCTGTATAAAAGTATTTATTTATTTAAAAAAATATCTTACTGACCCCAAACCGTTGAATAATGGTGTAATAAGCTGTATTACTAGTATCACTAAAACATGACAAAAAAGAAAGACTCAAAGCGGTTTGGGTAGAACATTGTAGCGTCTGCGTAGGATCATGCTGGAGTGTTGGACTGTT